TAAATGGTAACTATTTTTTAAAAAACTTGTCAGTAAAACTCATCCCTTTTTGGCTCATAATTCCTTCTAACTCTTGTACATACAATGCTCCCCATATTTGTGAAAATTAATTAAGGTGACTTTTCCCCCTCTTGAACTCAACACAGGATTTCTGATGGCGACATACTGCGTGTTACATGAATGTGAAGCAGTGTCTCCTAATCTCAGCACACACCCTTTCTGGCCTGGGATGCTGGAGCCTCTCATAATCCTGTATGATGAGTTGGGTCAGAACATGTCTGAGGTCCAGAACTATGGGATGCACTTCATCTACAGTCATATCAGGATTGTGACACAAACGGCCTCCCACTCTGAACTCATCAAACTCAGGTGCAAATAGAAGACTGGCTTTGCCAATGGGTTTATCTGCCTTTAATTGTGTGATTTCCTCTAGGAATGACTCTCTTYGGGCTTGTTGTAGAGCTTCTAGTTCAGGGTCAGCAGCCCCATGAAGCTGATGTGCAATGGCTTTAAAGAAGCTGTCCCAAGTCTGGTACAGATGTGGATCTGGAACACTAGAGCTAGACATAGTTAGACAACTTGTTTCAGCTCACCTTCAGGATCACTCTGAGGTGGGGGTGGTAGATTTGGCCAGTCACTTGGAGTCAGTTTCAGGAATTTAGGTCCATCTGTCCATCTAGCTGATGTCTTGGATAGTGAGGCCACGAGTGATGCCGTCTACGGGGTTTCATGAGGGCACGTATCTCCATGTAGCAGCTTCAGTTAACTCTTGTATTTCTGCCACACAAGCATCCACGTGGACCTTGTATTAACAGGAGTCTGAACCATAGGCGTCACAACAATAGTAAGTGAAGGGGACGTGTCCCCCCCACTTTTCAAAAGTATCCATTGGATGAGAAGTATAAATTCAAACCATTCTGATACTGTATTTGTACACAATCCATCACAGCTGCAAATGACAAATCATGTCACACTCCAGCAGGATATAGCAGATATACTGTATGTGTGTATATATATCAAAACACCATGAAAACAAAAACATGACTGTCAGGTTAATTGGTAACTCTAAACTGTCCCTAGGTGTGTGTCGGAGAGTGAATGGTTGTCTGTCTCGTTTGTCTCTACGTGTGTCCCTGTGATGGACTTGCGACCTGTCCAGGGTGTACCCGGCCCCTCGCACTGTGACTGCTGGATATGGGCATCAGTGACCCCCGTGACCCTGAAAGGAAGAAATGTGTATATAGATAATGGATGGATGGATATAAAAATATGCTGAAACAGGTAGATAAATGCAATCTATTTTTTTTTACATTGACACTTTTGTATGACGTTATAGTCTTTTTGGTCTGTAGAAAAATATTTTATTTGCACAATCCACATACTTTGCTCTTCTGCTCATCCCACAAATGCATGTTCCTTACAAATGAGGCCTCATCTAAAAGAGAAATTAACAGACTTTCAATTTGTTTAGGATTTAATGCCAAGAAGCATTGTTACAATAAAGAAATAATCTCCCAAACACTATTCATCGTTTACACACAAGTCGGTCTGCAGTGACATGATGTCTCATTTAAAAAAATCTTTTACATTAAGTTTTCTCACATCTGTGTTATAAGACAATTACAAGCAAAATCTACAAACTGCTGCCAGCTACCAGAGTTTGTTAAGCTACAGACACAGTTGAAGTGACTGAAAATAAGTCACCATCAATGTTAGGGCTGAGCGTTAAAACAATAACAACATATATTGAGATAGACACATCAATATCAAGAAAAAATACATCAAAAATACATGTTGATGATTTCACCCATCGCACGGCATTCTGGGGGATGTAAGCAGAGGAAAGGCTGAAGCTGCTCAACCTCTCAAGCAAGGTTGGAGGCATCAACTAACGCACTCACTCTTTTGTGAGCAACAACCTTTTGATTAACGTGTGTAATTCAGCAGTTTCATGTTTCGCCTCAAAACTGCTTCAAAATAAAAAAGAGCAACGTGTAGTGAAAGGAGAAAATGAGTGAAACAGCTTGACAGGAAATTTTAGATGAAAGAGGAAAGGTCAGGTCACCAGTTTGTCAGTATTAATCAGCCTTTTTTTTTTCTTCTGGTCATTATTTCAAATAGGTAAAACAAAAAACTCATCATGACGCAGAGACAACTCTAACCCCTGGCGCAGCGGTTAAAGATGAGCCTGTGATTGGAGGGTCACCAGTTGCCCCTTGGAGCCCCTTGGCTCCATATGTGTGATCACATACGTGATGGGAAAAAAATGTAGAAATGAGAAATAACTTCCCTACTGAGGGACAATAAAAGAAAATAAATAAAAAAAATGCAGGATGGTGGCCCTCAGGGACCAGAATCAGATATCCCCTGATCTACAGCAAATTATGAACCACAAGAGGGAAGGATGAGTGGTTGTAATTCTCAACTTCGCCACAAGATGTCACTCAATCCTTCACAATAGATTTTTAATTTTGGAGAAGTTCATTAAATATTCAGAGGGAAAGATCAGGTGTTACTTCCCACTTTGTTGAACCCCACCCAGTGTAGGTGCCCATATCTCCATAGCTCATTTAATCAACATGGCTTGTTTTAAATGCCAGCGAAGTAAAATCCTTCAAGGCCCTGTCACACTAGACAACTTATGCCAACTTATGAAACATTTTTATGTCTAAATTGTTAATAAAAGTTATATATTTGATCAATTTGTTCCAATTAGATCATGTACACGCCAAAAAGAAGCTTCTTTTGATTTTTTAAATTCCATCCTCAATGTCCTTAAAATGTTCATAAGTTGGCCTAAGTTTGCTAATGTGACAGGGCCTTATCAGATATAAAGGGACTCTTTWGTAATTTAATATTTTACTATGAATCACTGTCTGAGGCTTTACAAGCATCCAGAACAGATTTTCTACACAAACTCTCCAACTAGAACGTTTGACTAATCTAACATCTAGATCTGTGGGAAAGATGTAAAAAAACAGATTAGGATAAAAAATTCTGCTTGAAGTCATGTGTTGACTGTAATGGATGAGTGCAGTTAGAAGATATACAAAAGGGCAACATTACCCTGCATGTACTTAGATGATTGCAGGGCGTGATTATAATGAATGTAGGAAAGCAAAGTCTCTGCAGAATTACATRAAAAGGGATTATATTGCAGGGTGTTGTAGGTAAACATCTCATTACAAAGACTGATGGGTGTAGGAGGCCAGTGGTCCAAAGCTCATAGGAATTAGACTAGTAGAGATGAGATTTACAGCTCTTTGAAGGGAGCCGGGTCTTGTGGATCCGGTCCTTTTAAACAGCCGTTCAGTTTTGAATTGTTAGTCGTGTTGTATATGGCCCATGTTGCAGTAGAGCATGTCACAACGCGTTGCCCTACACAGGGACATAAGCTGCACATAAAGGCCGTACCACAGGCATGCCAACACCAATACTCTTAACAGAATATGTGGAACAAAAACTATCACTGAAATATCAGTACAAAAAAAAGTGCATCAATTTATGTGGGTTATGTTCCCCAGATCAGCTGAGCATTGACATGTATGGACATTTTGATGGAAATTTAGAACATAAACAGAAAAAAAAATTACAAAAATTAAAGAGGTGTTCTGTTGAGCAGTTATGAACAGCTCATATCTTACCTGTTGTAGATAGCTCTATCACGTCATGTTGGGGTCAGTCAGGCTTCATTTTGTGCCTCCAGCTTGTTCAAAAATGATGCTATTCTTGTCTTCTAAAGGAGACATGTGCTTTTAAATCTCTTTGCACATGTAAATCATTCAGTTGTAGTCTGCAATGTTTTAGTCTGAATTCCTCCTTACTGTAACTCCACAAGCCCCTCTTTCACCCCTTTTCTGAGGTGTTTCTCAGATGCACTCGTTTTGAGGCTGTCTCTTTAAATCCAAACAAGGCACTTCACACCCCACCCTACTCCAGCTTCCAGAATGGTGCACTCTTGTTTGATGCAGGGGTTTACAGTGCAGAAACCTTTTATTTACAAAGATGGAAGACTTGTCCCTCCAGCCTTTCATGTTGGATCCAGCTGACCCAGAGCCAGAGGAGAATGAAGATGACCAAATTGTAGTTGTAAGTATTGCGTAACAAAACGGCTACCTGCTTATGTGAAAAAAAATTAACAAAACTGTTTAAGTAATTAGACGTTTTCATGCATCACAAACAACAACTTTTAGYAGAATACAGAAATAATATTATAGTCTGAAATCCCTTTATGATAATGGATACACTCTGTCCACCTGATCTGTCAGTTTACCTGTGTGTGTGATGGGTTGGCTGAGGTTGCTTTTCTTGGTTCTTGTTGCACAACTGCCTGCCTCCAGTCACAATTCCTTGAAACATGCTGGTGACGCAGCTATTTCCCGTTTGGGTCCGCCTCCTCATCCTCAGACGGGGCAGGCGTCTTCGCTCCTYTCCGCTCAGTAAACACGGCAAAATACAAGTTTTTAAAACTTAAACACTGATATCCGATGCATGGATCTGGACTAAAGACGGGGTCAGTCTCTGGGGCCGCAGATGTTCAGGTTAGTGTAGTGTCAGTAATAATCTTTACGCAGCGCTGTGGGAGTCTGCCGGGGGGTGTAGGCTTGTTCGTAGGCGTTTTGCGGATCACTGAACCGAAACTAGTTTCGAAAAAAAGATGTTTAGTATTAATGGTTAAACCAAAGTTAAAACCTGTTTATTTGTGTGTGTGTGTGTGGTTGTGGTTAGTTTTGAGGAGGTTAATTCAAAAGAAGTTAGTTAATTTAAAATGTTTCGGGTCAGATTCTGCGCAACAGGGAAGTGAAAGTGTGCAAAAAAAAAAGGTGGCACAGAGATTCTGTGTGACTGTTGTATCCACAGGAATGCATAGATATCTTTATCTAAATATCAACTAATAACAGGGTTTGAAAATATATCTTTATTAATGTCGTTTTTCTCATTTTATSAAAACAAATGACAATATGTTGCTTTCTGGTTTACTCTACAATCCAGTCACAGAGCAGCTCTTTACACATTTAGTTCTCTCTGTAAGTAAGTAAGTAAAGTCAGTCAGTCAGTCAGTCAGTCAGTAAGTAAGAATTAAGTAAGTAAATAAGTAAGAAAATTAAGTAAGTAAGTAAGTAAGTAAGAAGTAATTAAGAAGTAAGTAA